TTTGAGGAAGAGGGACAAGTGAGTGGTTTCTTTTGACCAAGCTCCATGGTGTTCCACAGGCTTGACAGAGCAGCAGGAGAGAATGGAATCCAAAACAGCCGTGTCTGTGTGTGTGTGTGTGTGTGTGTATACACCATAGTATCACATATACGTATGTAGATACACGTACACATACATACTTGTGTATATAAAAATTTGACATGAAAGTCTTTATATCAGTTGAGAAAGGAATTAGCCAATAAATGCTATTGGAACAACTGGATATGCATTTGAAGAAAACAATGTTAGAACTCCATTTCCCACTATATACTAAAGTAAAGTCTATATCAATTAAAGATCTAAATATAAAAAACAAAATTCTAAAAGATATTTGGGAAAATATTCATCTAAACATGGGAAGGCAGAAAATTGAGAGAGCTGCGTACTTAACAATGCGAAACTTGGTGGTGAAAGACGGGGTGCTGTTTCAACATGATCAAAGTGGGGGGTTAGTGTCCCCAACATGCAGTTTCTAAAATCAGAAAGTAAAATGCCCCGGTCAACCCAGAAGAGGGGACAAAGAAAAATAATTTATAGAAAGGAAATGCAAATAGCCAATAAACCTATAAAAAGATACCACATTTTATAATGATTAAAGAAATAAAAACTAAAGCAATAACGAGATACTAGTTTTTTGGGGTGTTTTTTTTGGCAAATAGAAAAATTAATAAAAGGTTGATAAATGACACCTGCCATGGCATCGGGGAGGGGCATAGGGAAGTTCCAAACAGCAATAGTTTAGCGGAGTGATGGATGTACAATGATTATTGTATTGTTGTTTCATAGGTCACGTGACCTTTACAAGTATATTTGTATCTATTCAGTATTTAATTTAAAACAACTTTAAGAGTCCGTGCCTTGTGATTCAGCCAGTCCTGGGAACGTTGTAACAGACTGACGGTGTGGGCTATGTGTTCGCATACAGTGTAGCGTTGCAGTGGCAGAGAGCTGAGAACACTGCGTGTCCCGCTACCTGCCGCACAGAGGGCCGTGCAGCAGCGGAACGGATGAGGTGATGGGACCAGGTGACGGGACCGTGTCTGCAGTAGATCGAAAGTGAAAATAACAAGTGACAGATCTTGGTTGTATTCAGTAAAAGGAGAGTTTATATGGGTGTATGTGTCCGTCTAAGCAAAGAAAAAAATTCGGCAGTTGCTAACTGGAGGGAGGGGACAGTCTCTGGTGGGGACATGATGGCTTCTTATTTATGTAGTTGACAAGTAGTGGGATGATACATCTTTTTCCTCCTCTCTGTTTTTTGTATTTTTAAAATGAAATAGTTTTTAACAAAACTGTTATTGTTTTTCTACAAAAGATATTTTCTGTATTTAAAAATTCAAAAAAGTTTTTAATTACCATTGACATATATAATATATTAGTTTCAGGTGTACAACATGGTGATTAGACGTTTATATACCTTATGGAGCGAACAGCCTAAGTCTAGTAAGCACCTGGCACCATACGTAGTTATTAAAGATGTATTTTCATCTTGAGAAAAATTCAAATAATTCAGAAGAGTGCAAAAAAGGTAATTTTGATAATGAGCATATATTGAACCTTTACTTTTACTAATCAGGCACACTACACATGTGACATCAGTTTTTCCTCCCAAAATATTGGTAGGTATATATATTTGTATTCCATGTGAGGAACCAAAGCACAGAGACATTACATGACTCACTGTTGTCACACTGGTGGCAAATGCTAGGATTCAAGCCTGGCATATCTGGTGTCATTGATCGGAGTCTGCGCTGAAGGGCTAGTCAAGATCTCAGGGGGAGGCTCTTCGGGGACAGTGGGCTGTTTTAGAAATGATGGTCTCGTAAAGCCCTTCTGAGGAGGAAATT